CACCACTGTCTGTAGTAAGTACTTTACATCCGAGTATAAATGCACTACTGTCTGTAGTAAGTACTTTACATAATTCAGTTTATTTATATAGCGCCAAATCACAACAAAGTTGTCTCGGGGCACTTTACAGGAACATTCACATACATAAAAGCCAATTAGTAAAGTTCTCTATCTAAGAAATCCAGCAGACAAGTTGAATCTTGGCTTCGATGCAGTCTCCCATCCTGAGCAAGCACAGTGGCAACAGTGGAAAGGAAAAACTCCCTTTTAAAATGAAGAGACCTCCAGCAGAACCAGGCTCAGGACAAGCGGCCATCTGCTTTGACCGGCTGGTTGAGAGGACAGGGAGGAGAGACAGACGAACACAGAATGGTAGGTCCAGGTATAAGTCCAGGTGTATCTGAAAGACAAAAAAAACACATGTTAAGGATAGAAAAAATAATTACAAATACAAAACAGGTTGAGCAGAGTAAGTAAAGACAGAAGTAGAGTGAAAATTGTGGTCAGTCTGCCCTCCAGCAGTCTAAGCCTATAGCAGCATAACTAAGGGACAGCTCAGGAAACCCAAGCCGACCCTAACTATAGGATTTAGCAAAAAGGAAAGTCTTAAGCCTAGTTTTAAAACTGGATAATGTGTCAGCCTCGCGGACAGAGATTGGAAGTTGGTTCCACAAGAGAGGAGCCTGATAACTGAAAGATCTGCCTCCCATTCTGTTTTTGTAAATTCTAGGAACCACAAGTAAACCTGCAGTTTAAGAGCAAAGTGCTCTGTTAGGAAAATATGGAACAATAAGATCTGTAATATAAGATGGAGCCAGGTTGTTGAGAGCTTTGTAGGTTAGAAGTAACATTTTGAAATCTCTTCTGGACTTGACAGGTAGCCAATGGAGAGAAACTAAAACTGGAGAAATATTATCTCGCCTACCAACTCCGGTTAATAATAATAATAATAATAATAATAATAATAATTTTATTTAAAAAGCGCCTTTCATGACACCCAAGGACACTTTACAGTAAGAACAAAGATTAAGATAAGAAGGCTAAGATACATACATCTGAGTATAAATGCACCACTGTCTGTAGTAAATGCTATACATCTGAGTATAAATGCACTAGTGTCTGTAGTAAGTACTTTACATCTGAATATAAATGCACCACTGTCTGTAGTAAGTACTATACATCTGAGTACAAACACACTACTGTCTGTAGGATGCATTTTACATTGAGTATAAATGCCCTACTTTCTGTAGGAAGGTTACTTTACATCTAAACACACTTCTGTCTGTAGGAAGTACTTTACACCAGAGTATAAACAGACTACTGTCTGTAGGAAGACCCTGGCCACCCTGAAGCGGTCTAACTGATTGCGGCAATTCAAATCAAACTCTCACACTGCTTGTATAGGGACTGAATAGCCCTTAGCAATAGACCCACAATCCCATACTCATGGAGCACCACTCTCAGTGCACTTCGAAGAACACAGTTGAATGTCTTCTCCAAGTCCACAAAACACAATTAGACTGGATGGGCAAACTCTCCTGTACCCCTACCAGAAAAGGAGAACCACCACCCCAGTCTGCCAATTCAGTGGCACTGCCCCTGTTGTCCATGCGATGTTGCAAAGGCGTGTCAACCTAGACAGCCCAGGAACATTCAAAACCTTGAAGAACTCCCAGAGTACTGCCTCTATGCAGCTTTTTAACTACCTCAGCAACCCCGGCCCCAGTAATGGACGGACCAACCCCAAGTTCCTCAACTCTGCTTCTTCCATTGGAGACGTACTAGTGGAATTGAGAAAGTCTGAGAAGTATTTAGTTCACCTTCTGATGACATCACTGGTTGAGATCAACAGCACCTGACTTCCAGTATAGTATACACAGTGTTGTTAAAGTGCTGTTTTCCTTGTCTCTGTTGGCTAATTGTTTGCCAGAATCTTCTTGGAGCTGATCGAAATTCTCTATCCAAGGTGTAACCAAACTCTTTCCATATCCAAGCTTCTGCCTAAGCAACGGCATATGGCCATGTTCAGGACTGGATGCCGAGCTATCACTAACATTTTTGCAAATTTTGGGTTATTTACAGTGATGTTATCCTCAATGTCATGTTTGTTGTTGAAATAGGCAGATTAAAAGATAAATAAATCCCACACCCACACCATTTAGATTTTCAAAAACACTGTTGAAACATTTTTTGCACCATCTTGTCAAGAGGCTGTGGTCCAAATTTGAAGTCGATACAATAAAATTTGAAAATGAAATGGCGTTTTGTGCAATGTAAAAATTGTCAAAAACCAATCCTCTTTTCCTCTTTTTTTCAATATGGTGCCGCAAGATTTTTTATTAGGCCCTGAACTGGTGCACCTATGTACCAGGTTTCATACGTGTACATTGATGTAGTCAGAGTGGCTACAATTAAGATGGTGCTAACAAGCCAATTTGCCATGCCCACATCAGAATTTGTGCACCTCCCCATTTAGCTAATTCTAAATAATTGGCAAATTTCATACTGTTTGGTCCACTAAAACCTAATGAAAGTGGTTTTGTTTCAGGAGAAAAATGAGAATTCCCAAAATAACAGAGCCTTCTGCTGCTTCACAACGCTCGAGCCCTAATTAGAACGAGTAAAGACAGCAGCAGAGTACCACCAGAGCACCAGTAGAACCAGATGACATACAGTGGAGGTTTTGAAATGTCTATGAGAGACGGCAGTAAGGTTTCAGACTCAAATATTCAATGGCATATTTGATGATGAGAAAATGCCTGAGGAATGGCGGCGTAATGTGCTGGTGCCCATTTTAAGGACAGGGATGATGTACAGAGTTGTAACAACTTCAGGAGAATTAAGTTGATGAGTCACACAATAAAGATATGGGAGAGAGTTTTGGAAACTAGACTTAAACAAGAGGTGACTGTGAGCAGCAGTACGGTTTCATGCCAAGAAAGAGCACCACCGATGCCATTGTTGCTTTGATGATGCTGATGGAGAAGTACAGACAGGGTCAGAAAGAACTCCATTCTGCCTTTGTGGATTTAGAAAAAGCATATGACAATGTGCCGAGAGAGGAGGGTGTGATATTGCATGAGAAAACCTGGAGTGGCAGAGAAGTATGTTATACTGATACAGGACATGTATGAGGACAGCAGGGCATGTTATCCCCCAGTATACTCCCGCGTACGTACGTCCACGCGTACGTACGCGCGTACTATACACAGAGGGTTTAGACTTCATACTCGAGTGTCCACCCTGAGCAGCTGCATAGCAGCTCCACAAACAAGGGACGTTTACCTTTGGGACAAATTGAGGTAGCCGATTGGTCATTTGCTGACACGCCTACTGGGTTGATTGACAGGTCAGGGGGAAAAACGAACGCTGGTAGCCTCAGCCGCAGCAGTGTTCTATGTTTATATGTTGTTAATAAAAAGATCTAAAAAAAAAACAGGGAGCGTTGGTCCTGCAGCCCACACATCAGACCAGCCCACCAGGAAATCTCCAGGCCCTCCCACAGCCACGCTGGACCTGAGTTTAATTCGCTCATGACAAATTCCTTAATTTCTCACCATTTCAGTCATGGCATCAACGGAGGAGGAAGAGATCG